AAGCCAATTCTATAAATCTCCACCTCAGCGAACATTTTGCCAAAAATTGAGCCGACACCAAAACACCCCCAATCAATCTCAAACTCATACAACCGGCTGCATCTGCAAGACTGCCTACGTATCCTCTTGCCCAAGGAATCAAGCCGAACGTAGTTCATCAAAATGGCCGCGAACGGCCTCAACAACGAAGAATGTTCAATAAATTTAAACAATGACCAAACTTCACACCTGGTACAACTTTGGTCAATATATCAGCAGGGTTGTCCTTAGTGTGGACCTTCTCCAACGTGACATCGCCATCATCCAAAACGTCACGTACAAAATAAAATCTGACATCAATGTGCTTCGTGCGTGCATGGTAGACTTGGTTCTTCACCAAATAGATAGCTGACATACTGTCACAATATACCTGAATGGTCTCCTGTGCAATCCCCAAATCATCCAACAAGCCATGTAGCCACAAAACCTCATTCACTGCTTCAGTCACCGTCATATATTCCGCCTCCATAGTAGAAAGCTCCACTGTAGACTGAAGAGTGCATCTCCAACACACCGGTGCACTAGCCAATGTAAAAACATAACCTGTAGTGGACCGACGCTTGTCAAGATCTCCGGCATAGTCTGAATCCACGTAGCCAATACAATCCTGCCCTGTCTCATCATTCTTCACAAATATCAACCCAACATCCACGGTACCCTTAATATATCGTAGAATCCACTTCACGGCCTCCCAATGCCCCTTCCCGGGGTTGTGCATGTACCTAGATACCATGCTCATGGTCTGTGACAAATCTGGCCTCGTACACACAATAGTATACATCAAGCTACCCACTGCACTGGCGTATAGAACTTTGGACATGTAGTCCCGATCCTCCACTGAAACTGGTGACATCAAAGCTGAAAGCTTAAAGTGGGGAGCTAATGGAGTACTCACCACCTTGGTATTACCCTCAAAACTGAATTTCTTCAGCATCTTCTGCAAGTAACTCCTCTGTATAAGATTCAATCTCCCCTTCACCTTGTCTCTCTTAATCTCCATACCCAGTATCTTCTTAGCCTCTCCCAGGTCCTTCATCTCAAATTCAGATGACAGCTCCTTTTTCAATTTCCCAATAGCTGAAGTGTTCCTGGAAGCTATGAGCATATCATCAACGTACAATAACAAATAAATGTGCTCACCATCCTGTAGCTTGCACATATAAACACATGGGTCATACGGGCTCCTCGTGTACCCTTGGCCGATCATAAAGCTATCAAATCTCTTATACCACTGTCGCGGTGATTGCTTCAGTCTATAAAGAGATTTCTTCAATTTGCACACCAAATTTTCCCTTTCTGCAGCTTTAAACCCCAAAGGTTGTGTCATGTAGATCTCCTCGTCTAAGTCTCCATGTAGAAAGGCCGTCTTCACGTCCATTTGGATCAAGTTGTGTCATGTAGATCTCCTCGTCTAAGTCTCCATGTAGAAAGGCCGTCTTCACGTCCATTTGGATCAAATCTAAGTCCAGCTGTGCTACCAATGCCAATAGAATCCGAATAGACGAATGCTTCACAACAGGTGAAAATACCTCATTGTAATCAATGCCCTCAAGCTGTGCATATCCCTTGGTAACCAATCTGGCCTTGAACCGAATATCCCTAATAGAAGATCCCTCCTTCTTAGCATACACCCACTTGCAACCAATAGCTTTCTTACCCTTAGGTAGCTTTGTAAGTTCCCAAGTGTCGTTCTTCTGAAGAGATTGCATCTCCTCCTCCATAGCATTCCTCCACCTAATAGAATCAGGGTTGGACTCTGCCTCCCAGAATGTGGCCGGAATCAAATCATCAACGACCTCCACAGATAAAGCATATACCAGCATGACATCATCATATCTAGCTGGCCGACAAATCTCTCTCCTCGGTCTATCTGCTGCAATGGACCCCTGAGCATGACCCTGCTCCTGAGCCTCACCATCCATTGTATCCTCCAAATGCCCGACTGTCATCTCAACTCCTTCCAGTATCACCTCTGTAGGAGTCTCAATGGACACAGTGGTTACTGGAGTGTGTGGAGTCACATCATCCTCCACCTGCTGCGATATCCCTCCTGTCTAATCTTCCTCCACCTGCTGAGGAACTCGAGGCTTCATCATGTACGCCTCATCAAATGTGACATCTCTGCTAATGACCATCTTCTTGTCTTGTGGATCCCATAATTTGAAGCCTTTGACACCTTCTCTAAATCCCACAAAGATAGCCTTCCTCGCTCTCGGATTCAACTTCTCATCACTAATATGGAAATAAGCTGGACACTCAAATATCCGAAGAGTCTCATAATCACTAGCCACAGAACCAGACCAACGCTCCATAGGAGTCTTCCCCTCTATCGCAGTGCACGACAACCTGTTAACGAGATGGCTTGCATAAACTAACGCCTCGGCCCAAAAGGATCTAGCCAATCCACTCTGCGTCATCATACATCACACCTTCTCCAGCAAGGTACGGTTCAGCCTATCTGCCACCCCATTCTGTTGCGGTGTCTCTCTAACTGTGAAGTATCTTCTAATGCCGTGATCCCGGCAAAACTATAAAAATGGATCACTCTTATACTCTCCACCATTGTCTGAACGAAGAGTCTTCACCTTTCTACCTGTCTACAACTCCATTTTCCTCTTCCAATCCACAAATATATCCAGGACCTCATGTTTATGCTTCATGGTATATACCCAATTCCTCCTAGAATAGTCATCAATGAAAGTGACAAAATAATTTGCCCCACCAAGCGATGTGTGCTTAGAAGGGCCCCAAACATCTATGTGAATGTAGTCTAATATACCTTGGGTATTGTGAATTGCGGTGCCAAACTTTACTTTAGTCTTCTTCCCAAGTATGCAATGCTCACACAGCTCCATCTTGCAGGTCTTTGCACCTTTCAATAGCCCCTGTTTTGCCAATGACTGTAGGGACTTATCGCCTGTGTGTCCAAGCCTCATGTGCCATAGTGTGGTAGTGTCCTCCTCTGTGGTGATAGAAGCAGCCAGACCCCCTGTAATTGTCTTGCCCTTCAAGTAGTATAGGTTGTTTTCCCTAACACCTCGCATCACCATCATGGATCCCTTCATGACCTTCAAAGTAGCATCCTCTAAGATCACTCTGTAACTAGCTGCCTCCAAAGTCCCAAGAGAAATGATGTTCTTCGTCAATTGCGGCACGAACCTCACTTCTTTCAATTCCCTAGTCACCCCGTTATGCATTCTGATTCTGACTGAGCTAATCCCACTAATAGGACAAACGTGATCGTTCCCCATAAGCACCACGTCCCCTCTCTCCAACTCTTTAAAGTTGGTAAACCAATCACTCTTAGGGAAAATATGAAATATAGCTCCCGAATCAAGCATCCACTCCGTAGAGTCGGCATAACAAACTGACGGCAGTGCGGGACAAGAATAACCGGAAGAATCCAAATCTAAAGTGTCGCCAACAACCTTAGCAACATTCACCTCTGAAGCTTGTACAACTTTCTCCCTTTGCTTTCCGGCTCTACCCTTCTTCAACTTTGGGCATTCGTTTTTCCAATGTCCCTCTTCTTTGAAAAAGAAACATTGATTTCTACCAACACTTTTATGGCCACCCCTATTTTTTGATTTTGAGTGGTTGAATCTTTGACGGTTTGGACTACGGCCACGAACTGCTAATGCATCACCCGATGCCTTCTCAGAGGGCTCACTATCATTCTTCCTCAGCTCATAATTTACCAATGCCGAGGTCACCTCCTTGTAGCTGACTGTAGTTCGTCCATTTATCATAGTGAGAACAAAAGTACTAAACTCATCATCCGGCAACGAACACAATAATAACATCGCCTTGTCTTCATCCTCCATCATGATATCTATATTGGCCATATCAAAAATTAGCTTTGTGAAGTTGTTAACATGCTCCCGAATAGAAACTCCCCTCTTCATCTTGAATTGGTAGAACCTCTTCTTCAAGTGAAGCCGATTCTCAATGCTCTTCATCAAATATTTTTCATTAAGCGTTTCCTACAATCTCTTCGCCGAAGTCTTGTTCATCACATCATAAATGAGATCCGGTGTTGTCATGCCCCGCTTCCCAAAATACACGGGAATCAGAACGTGAACAAGCCTGCGACGTATTAGATTGAGAAGAAATATACACTATTATTTTTTTCTTCTTTTATTTTCTTTTTTTTTCTCAATCCAATACGCTAAGCGTCTGGAAATAAATACGATGCGAAGTCTTAGGTCCCCGATCACAATCAGCAAGAATATAATAGACAAATTCAGAATAAAATAATATATATCACAAATGAATATCATCCAAGACAGAAAATACGGGTCAAACATACCCTTATACAAATCTGAACAAAAGAATACTGGAGAAATATAATACATAGTCCAACAAAAAAGAAAGGAAAAACTACAAAGCAACTAGATTCATCAAATAAGAAGAAATACTGAATTTCGGCCTATTCTTCTTCTCCATCTGCAAGGCACTCCTGTTGAAAATATCCAGGCTCTAGTACATCTCCAAGTTGAACCTGTTCTTCCTCTAAGTCTGACGTACACCAGAGAAAACAGGTGTACGTCAGGGTGCATTGCACTCGGCAAGACCCGACAAAACAATTAGAGCGAACGAAAACCGAATGCGAAGATGATATAACAACAGAAATGATAAAGAAACGTGCAACGGGAAATCCAACAAAATCAATCAAGTAAAAGACGATCATGCAGCTAGCGATCAGAAATCATCCAAGTAACAGGGGCATACACTAGATGGAATTAATACCTAAAAATCTACAACTCGAGGCGTAGTACGTCGAGCGAAATAATCCAAACAAGGAAACCCTCATGTATATACCATATGTCTCGAACTGTAAATAATTAAATATTAATCCCGATCTATGTATGAAAAGAAATACAACTGATCTACATCTCACAAGAATCCATAAATCCTAACCAAGGTGACGACACCGATTCACCTTGACTCAACAAATCAACCATAGTGGTGACACCGATCCACTGTAACAAGTCATGTAACTAGTCATCCTAAAATAGGTCACTGGTTCACATCTCACACAGAGTCAACGCTCATATCATCGGATAACTGACTGTTCGCATATCCCCCACGTGCATCCAATCAAATAAATTCATGAACCAAAGTAGCGACACCGATCTACTTTGACCCAACCAATCAGCCCCCAGTGGCGACACCGATCCACTGTGACTCAACATACCAACCCCCGTGGCGACACCGATCCACTGGTACGAACCTGGAAGATATATCAACAGTCTTATCCAATTACATGAACCATGACTTTCCCATCCCAACTCTTCTCGCTTTTCTAAGTCAACAACACACGAGTCTCTAGGTCTTATTCATGTCACACAGGTCACTATAGTCATAAACTCATAACGATTCTCAATCACAACAAGGAACAATCAACGCAGCTAATCATATACAATAATATCATAGCATATCAGATAATCAAAATTAAGAATTTGAATCATAAAATTATTCTAAAATAATCTTTTGAAATAATAAATTTATTTACTTCAAAATAATTCCTTTTACAAATTAAATTCTTTTAATTTAATTTCAAAATAAACCCTTTTTCCAAAATAAGTTTTTTTTTTATAATAATTCTAAAAAATCTTTTAAAAGAATAAATTCATAAATTCAAAAATAATGTTTTTATAAGATAAATTCTTATTAATTCAAAATAGTCTATTTTCTAAAATAATTTCTTTTTACAATATTTATCATTCTAAAATAATTTCTTCCACAAGATAATTTCTAAAAATTATTATAATTATTCTAAAATGATTCTTTTTCTCAAATAAATTCTTTTTAATTATTATAATTTTCCCAAAATAATTTCGTTCTCAAATATATTCTTTTTAATTATTATAATTTTCCCAAAATGATTTTGTTCTCAAATAAATTCTTTTTAATTAATATAATTATCCAAAAATGATTCTGTCGTCGAAATAAATTCTTTTAATTTATCATAATTATTCTGAAAATGCTAATTATCGTATTATTATGATTTATCTAATATTATTCATCAAACAATCACACGCAGATAATTATACCACAAACTAATCTATGTAAACAATTAATAACGGATATAAATATTAAAATGACAAGTCAATGAGCAAGAGGGATTGTAGGCGTATAAAATTACTTATAGGTCCCTTAACACAGCTCAGCATGGTGATTCAACAAACCAACGAACCATCGAGGCGACGAGGTTAAACACCGAAGCGGATTTACTGCCAAATCAGGATCCAGACTGCCAAATCAGGATCCGGACTGCCAAATCAGGATCCGGACTGCCAAATCAGGATCCGAACTCAAACTCGAACACCGAAGCGGATTTACTGCCAAATCAGGATCCGGACTGCCAAATCAGAGTTCAGATCAACAAATCAGAGTTCGGATAAACCGGAAAACAAAAAAAAAACCAATATTTGGAGGACTCGGCCAAAACCGAGCCACCTCTAGGTGGCTCGGTGCCTCGGCCACCTTTTGGTGGCTAGGTGCCCCGGCCACCTTTTGGTGGCTAGGTGCCTCGGCCACCTTTTGGTGGCTCGATGCCTCGGCCACCTTTTGGTGGCTAGGTGCCCCGGCCACCTTTTGGTGGCTAGGTGCCTATAAATAGGACTTGAAGGCTCATTTGTCAAAGGTTGGAACTTTTGGAGGCGAAGCTCTGCTGGATTGAAGGCTCAAAACTCAAAAAGATTGAAGCTTTAGAACTTTGAAGACTTGCTCTTTCGGATCCGGTGCTCGGCGATCGTCCACGCCAAATAAGACAGGAGTTCGAGAGGGATCAGATCTGAGATCTACGCGATTGTACTCCGGATCAAAGCTTGGCCTTTGATCCCGAGAGGGCGATTATTTCCTTGGTGAATTAATCCCCCCTGGCTATTATTTCTTTCGCGAAATAATACCCGTTATATCGTGTAGATCCAACCGGATCTAGATCACGCGGTAGTCCACGGATAAACCCCGGCGCAGGCAAAGAACCCACAAAAGCGAGCGATCGCAAAACAGGAGCTCGTGATTTGTTCGACAAATAAGGAAAGAGTTGTAATTTTCTTTTTTCTTTTGATCTCGTTGTAACCGGATCTTATAAAAAGACCGGATCTTTTGTAATCAAAAAGCAATTACTTGAGAGAACAATGACGACAATGAATTCAATGAAGAAAGCAACGATTTTTCCCGCGAACAATCTGGCGACCACAGTGGGAGCCGCCGATCTCGCTGCCGAGATCGGAGCGTCGCAGCCGCAGATCTCAATCCCGGTCGTGGAGGAAGTCGAATACGAATTCGACCAACAGAAGTTCGAGGAGTATCTGTCATCCTCGTCCGGATTGACCTCCCCTCGCAAGTCCAAGAAGTTCTCCTCCGGGAGAAAGGTACGTTGGTACGAAGAAGTTGAAGCTACCAACGACGATCTCACCCCGATTGACGCCAAAGCTGCGTCGGGTGAGACTCCACCAACCTCCAACCAGATCAAGCTGGTTCCAACCAATTCCTCCGTCACCAAAGGAGCGGTGACTCTCTCAAAGAGAGCCCGCCAAAGACGACGCCAACGTTTGGCCAAAGAATTCGCCAAAGCGATGGAGTCAACTGACGGAATCCGCTACAACGCGAATCTGAAGAACATGAGAGGCAAACAGCCTCAACGACCGATGAATGGCGACTCCTCCAAGCCGCCAACGAACGAATGGGTCCGTGTCAAACGGAACCATTCGACACTTGAGGAGCGCATTCACAAGCACCGCGCAATGTCAGCGCAGGCACGGGCTCAAGTCTAAGAGGCCCGAAGAAGACTACAAAAGGAGGTGGCCAAGAAGCCGCCGCCAACCCGCCAAGTATGGAAGCTGAAGTCTGAAGCGGCGATTCAGACTAAGGCACAAGCAGTGCAGCCTTCGAAGCAGGTTCAACCTCAGGCGAGCCGACCAAAGTCGCCGGTAATTCCCATAGCTACTCCGGGGGATCATGCAGAATCATCCCGAAGAAGGAGATCGGTTCTGGAGCGCCTCGGTCCAATTCTCGATGAAAGAGGCAAAGCTCCAGTTCAGGAACGTTTGGGCCCGCTGAAGAAGCCCCGAACGACTCAACACGCTGGGGGTCGCCGCCACCTCCAACATGACAAGGAGCTCAAGGCAACTGCATGCACTAATTTGCGCATCGAAGTCCAAGAGCCCGCTAAGAACTCACGCCCAAAAAGGCATGTCTCGAGGCGACGAAGAAGAACGGTAGTTGAAGACGGAGAATTCCCGAAGGTCACCACGAATATGACTAGCAAAAGGACATCGACACAGGACAATCCCGAGTTGATTCCGGAAGTACCCCAGTGGATGACCCGTCTGTAGTCCGGAGCCATCATACGAGGAACTTATGGTAGGATCCGGATAAGATTACCTTCAGAAGATGAAGAATGGAGCCATCATACGAGGAACTTATGGTAGGATCCGGATAAGATTACCTTCAGAAGATGAAGAATCGGATGCCTGCTCTGCGGTCGCATCAGATAACACAGTGCCCAGCGAGGGACAACCCCGCGAGTCACTTATGATAAGTGCGGAATAAGTGGCCAAGATGCTCGAAGAAGCCATGGCTAAACAACAGGAGAGCTTCAGGTTCGAAATGCAGATGGCCATGCAGAACATGAGAGAAATGCATGACCAACAAATCCAAGCATTGACGAACCAGCAAGGCGAACCAAGTCGTCGTAACCAGGTTAATCAGGAAGATGAGGACACAAATGCGAATGAAGCTCATAATGCCAATAATCCCCCCGTTAATGCGGGGGGTGGTAACGAGAATGCTAGCGAAAACACAAGTGAAAGCTTGAAGATC